ACACTGAGACACCACCTTGCACCGGTCAGAACTGCTAAAATGAGCAAATCAGAGGACTCTAGATGCTTGCAAGGATATGGAGAAATGGGCACCCTCCTACACTGTTGGTGGGAATGTAAACTGGTGCCGCCCCTCTGGAAAACAGTGTGGAGGTTCCTCAAAAAATTAACAATTGAACTCCATTATGACCCAGCAATAGCAGTGCTAGGAATTTACCCAAGGCATATAGGAGTGCTGATGCATAGGAGCACATGGACCCCATTGTTCATAGCAACACTCTCAACAATAGCCAAAACACGGAAAGAGCCTATGTGTCCATCAACAGACTAATGGTTCAAGAAGATGTCGTTTATCTATACGATGAAATACTACATGGCATGGCAATGAGAAAGAATGAACTCTGGCCATGTGTAGCAACACGGATGGACCTTGAGGGTGTTATGCCGAGCGAAATAAGTCAGGCAGAGAAGGACAGCTACCATATGTTTGCATGTATAGGAGGATTAGGAGGAACTTAATGGAGGACCATGTGGGAGAAGAAGGGGAGAAATAGTGGGGGAGAGGGAGAGAAGCAAACCATGAGAAACTCTTGAATGGTGAGAACAAACTGAGGACTGACTTGTGTGCGGGTGTGGAAGGGGAAATGGGCACGGAAAAGGGCACTTGTGGGGATGAGCAATGGAAACCAACTTGAGAATAAACTATTTGTAAAAAAAAAAATATTTAAAAAATGGTAGAATTCCTCAGGGAAGCCATCTGGACCAAGACTCTTATTGGGAGATTTTTGATAACTGATTCAATTTCCTCACTAGTTATCTATCTGTTTAGATTTTCTATCTCTTCCCTTGTGAATTTTGGTAGTGAGTGTGTTTTTAGGAATTTTCCATTTCTTTTAAGTTGTCCGATTTGTTGGCATATAGTTTTTCATAATATTCCCTGAAAATTGCTTGTATTTCTGAGGGGTTGGTTGTAATAAGTCCATTTTCATTCATGATTTTGTGTATTTGAGTGCTCTCTCTCTCTCTTTTTTTTAAATATTTTTATTTATTTCTAGGAGAGAAAGAGGGAGAGAGACAGCATGAGCAGGGGAGGGTCAGAGAGAGAGGGAGACACAGACTCTGAAATAGGCTCCAGGCTCTGAGCTGGCAGTCAGCACAGAGCCCGACGCGGGGCTCGAACCCACGAATCGCGAGATCATGACCTAGCGAAAGTCGGATGCTTAACCGACTAAGCCATCCAGGCGCCCCTCTTTTTTTTTTTTTTTTTTTTTTTTTTTGAGAAGGCTGGCTAGAGTTGTCAATTTTGTTTATTTTTTTTCAAAAAACAAACTCTTGGTTTCATTGATCTGTTCAACGGTTTCTTTGGCTTCTATATTGTTTATTTCTGCCCTGATTTTTTATTATTTCTCTTCTCTCTCAGGGTTTTGGGTCCTCTTATTGCTCTCCCTCTAGTTCCTTTAGGTTAGCTATTAGATTTTGCACTTGCGCTTTTTCTAATTTCTGGAAATAGGCCTGGAGTGCAATGTACTTTCTTCTGAGGACTGCCTTTTTCACATCCCATAGAGTTTGGATTATTGTATTTTCAGTTTCATTTGTTTCCATATTTTTTAAAATTTCTTCTCTTATTGCCTGTTTGGCCCAATCATTCTTTAGTAGGGTGTTCTTTAACTTCCATGTTTTGGAGGTTTCCAGACTTCTTCCTGTAATTGATTTCAAGTTTCATAGCATTGTGGTCTGAAAGTGTGCATGGTATGATCTCAATTCTTTTGTATTCGTTGAGGGCTGCCTTATGTCCCAGTATGTGATCTATCTTGGAGAATGTGCCATGCACACTTGAGAAGAAAGTGAATTCCATGTCCTCAGGATGCAGAGTTCTAAATATATCTGTCAGATCCATCTGGTCCATTGTGTCATTCAAGTCCATTGTTTCTTTAGTGATTTTCTGTCTAGTTGATCTATCCATTGCTGTAAGTGGACTATTAAAGTCTCCTGCTATTAGCACATTCTTATCCATAAGAGTGTTTCTGTTTGTGATTAATTGTTTTATGTATTTAGGTGCTACCATGTTCGGTGCATAGACATTTGTAATTGTTAGCTCTTCCTGATGGTTAGACCCTGTAATTATTATATAATGCCTTTCTTCATCCCTTCTTCCTGTCTTTACTTTAAAATCCAGTTTGTCTGATTTAAGTATAGCTACTCCAGCTTTCTTTTGACTTCCCGTAGCATCAGAGATATTTCTCCACCCCCTCACTTTCAATCTGATGTTGTTTTCAAGTCTAAAATGGGTTTCTTGTAGATAGCAAATAGCTGGTTTTGCTTTTTAAAAAATTTTTTTTTAAATGTTTTATTTATTTTTGAGAGAGAGAGAGACAGCATGAGCAGGGGAGGGTCAGAGAGAGAGGGAGTCACAGACTGAAAGAGGCTCCAGGCTCTGAGCTGGCAGTCAGCACAGAGCCCGACGCGGGGCTCGAACCCACGAACCGCGAGATCATGACCTAAGCGAAAGTCGGACGCTTAACCGACTAAGCCACCCAGGCGCCCCTGGTTTTGCTTTTTTATCCTATCTGCTACCTTATGTCTTCTGATTGGGGCATTTAGTCCATTTACATTCAGTGTTATTATTGAAAAATATGGGTTTGAAGTCATCGTGTCCTTGTGGAATTCATGCTTGTGGTGGTGCCTCTGGTATCTTGTGTTCTTTGCACCATTTCCCTCATAGAGTCCCCTCAGGATTTCTTGTAGGGCTGGTTTAGTGGTGACAAATTCTTTCACTATTTGTTTATTTGGAAAGACTTTTATCTCTCCTCTATTTTGAATGACAGGCTTGCTGGAGAGAGGATTCATGGCTGCATATTTTTCCTGTTCATCACATTGAAGATTTCCTGCCATTCCTTTCTGGCCTGCTAAAATTCAGTAGATAGGTCTGTCACCACTCTGATAGGTTTCCCTTTGTACGTTAGAGCCCTTTTCTCCCTAGCTGCTTTCAAAATTCTCTCTTTGTCCTTATATTTTTCAGTTTCACTATGATATGTCATGCTGAACATTGATTCAAGTTACGTCTGAGGGGAGTTCTCTGTGCCTCTTGGATTTCAATGTCTGTTTCCTTCCCCATACTGGGGAAGTTCCTTGCTATAATTTGTTCAAGGACTCCTTCAGCGCCTTTCCCTCTCTCTTCCTCTTCTGAAATTCCTATTATACGCATATTATTCTGTTTGACTGTATCACAGAGCTCTCAAACTCTCCGTTCATGTTTCTGGATCAGTTTATCTCTCTTTTTCTCAGCTTTCTCTTTTTCTATAAGAGTGTCTTCTAAATCACTTATTCTCTTTTCTGCCTCTTCATTCCGTTCATTGGACGCCTCCATTTTATTATGTGTCTCATTTATAGAATTTTTAAATTCATCACAACTATTTTTAAACTCCGTAATCTTTGTAGCAATAGTTTCTCTAATGTCTTCCATGCCTTTTTCAAGCCCAGTGATTAATTTTATGACTATTGTTCTAATTTCTTGTTCAGTTATGTCGCTTATATCTGTTTTGAGCAGTTCTTTAGCTGTCATTTCTTCCTGGAATTTCTTTGGAGGAGAGTTTTTCTGTTTCGTCATTTTGGTTAGCTTTCTATCTCTTGCTAATTTTTAATGCTTGTTCTGCACTCTGTCCCTGCAGGTGTTGCTGTATTAAAGAGGGCTCTTTGACTGTCCAGGCCAGTCAGTGTTCAGGAAGTGTTCTTTGGTGTCTCTTTGTTTCTCTTGTTGAGACTTTGGTTATTTTATTTCCCTACTCGTGTTGGTATTTGGGACAGTTCACCATGTATACTTTGGCTTGTTTCTTTTTTTTTTTTTTAATGTTTTATTTATTTCTAGGAGAGAGAGACAGCGTGAACAGGGGAGGGTCAGAGAGAGAGGGAGTCACAGACTGAAACAGGCTCCAGGCTCTGAGCTGGCAGTCAGCACAGAGCCTGATTCGGGGCTCGAACCCACGAACCGCGAGATCATGACCTAAGAGAAAGTCGGAAGCTTAACCGACTAAGCCACCCAGGCGCCCAAACTTTGGCTTGTTTCTTGAGGTAGCCTTATTAGGTTGCCTTCCCAGTGTACTCTGTCTCTTTCTTTCCCAAACTCCTGTGGCTCAGTGTCCCGTGGCTTCAGGTCTTGTCTTTGAGAGATGAGTGCGAGCTAAATACATGGAGCTCCATACTTCGCCATCTTGCCTCCCTCCTCGGTCTTGAATTTTCAATGTAATTTTCATTGAGTCGAGATCAAAGTTGATATTATTTTCTATGAGGATTGTGAAGACATTAATCCCCTGTTCCTTTGCTTTCATGCCTATTGAGAAATGTACTCCCACCATGAAGCTGGTTCCTCCGTAGGGAACACATCTCCTCTCTGGCTGTGAGAGTGTCTGCATCACTGGTTTGTAGCAATTTCATTATGTTGTGTGTTGTGCTGTCTCTCATGATCCCTGTGCCTGAGCTTTGTTGAGCCTCTTGGATACATTAGTTCATGTGTTTCACCAAATTTGAAGCCTTGTGCAGATTATTTCTTCACTTAGTTTGTTATTCACCATCAGTTCCTTCCCTGCTCTCCCTCTGTTCCTACACTCCACTCCTTCTGGGTGGCATTAAGTTGTCCTAGAGGTACCGAACTTATATTTATATTTTTAGTGTTTGGTTCTGTTTTATTTTGAGTAGCTTAAATTGCTTGACGTCAAATTCACTCTTTTCTTTTGCAGCATCATATCTGCTGTCAGTCTATACAGTATATTTTTAAATATCTAAGCATTTCATTAGGGAGGTCTCAAAAAATTTTGTCTTTGAAAAATGTCTTCATATCTCCTCCTCAACATTCAGTCAATCCTTCACCTGCAGTAATAGAGGAAATCTAGTTCTAATAACTATATGAATCCCCTGCTCATTCACACTGTGCGGAGTGTGTCTGGAGGGTGAAGAGTAAGGAGACAGACTCCACGCCTCAGATCAGGGGACTTGGGCCAGGCCTACCGATAGTTTTATGCAGTCATCCTGGGGTGAAGAGAGTGTCACACAGATGGGGAAGGTTTGTGTCTCATTTCCCCATCTGCCTGTGTCACTGTGAGCATCATTATTGATGGTAGAGGACTGACAGTAATAGTCAGCCTCGTCTTCGGCCTGGGCCCCATTGATGGTCAGGGTGACTGTTTTCCCTGAACTGGAGCCAGAGAATCGGTCAGGGATCCCTGAGGGCCGCTCGCTATCTTTATAAATGACCAGCACAGGAGCTTGGCCTAGCTTCTGCTGGTACCAATTTGTATATTTTTTCTCCATCATATCTCCAGAGCAGGTGATTTTAGCCATCTGTCCCAGGGCCACTGATACTGTGGGTGGCTGGGTCACCTCGCTGGAGGCCACGGATCCTGAAAAAACAGAAGAGGAGAGGTTGGTGTCAGGTTGAAGGCTTCATTTGAGGGACTCAATACTGAGACTGTGCCAGTCTGAACTCAGGGTAGGTTCAGGTGCAGCTCAGGTCCTGTGTGGGTTGGGATTGGGCAGAGGGTCAGGGACAGCACCTGTGCACAGAGTGAAGAGGGGGAGCAGGAGAGGGGTCCAGGCCATGGTGGAGATGCCCAGAGCTCTGTGTTCTGAGACCCACAGCACTGCTGGGCTCCACCCTAGCTTCTCTTATTCCCTTCCAGGCCCTTGGGACTGTGATTGTTAGTAGTTATGCAAATCTCCTCCACCTCTAGGGCTCCTAACTGATAAACCACTTGTGAGGTCAGAACATGTGACTAAAAAGGAAAGGGGAGCCCCCAACTTCCTCCAAACAGCTCTCAAGTCAGACCACCAGCCTTGGCCTTCAGGGTTTGGGATCACAGTCACATTCATGTGAGCAGACCACATGACAATCGTCTGAAAGAACCTGCTTGGAGCCTGTGCTGGGCTCCCTCTGTGGTCTTCCAGGAGCCTGGCTGTGGGGCTGGGCTGGGCCCTCTGAGAGATACAGACAATGCCTGATTCAGGGCAAGAGGTTCTGTGGCTCCATTACCTTCCTACTACTGCTTCCTGTCCCCACTGCATACCCAGAGGCACTGTCATCCCATCCTTGGCATGTCTTGAGAATGTGGAGCTTTCTAATTACAATGTTCGCCATTTTGTCTGTGAGAGTCCACTTGTTCAACAACCACCTGCTGTTGGAGATTCACCACACTTTCCAGTCTATTGTCATGTGGTAACTCCATCTCTATGACACCCCCCATCCTACAGCAGGGGGTGCCATTGCCATTGTCTAATCTTTTCTGTTTTTCATCAGTGTTAGATGAAATAGTACAAATTATGTGAGTGGCCACCCCTGACTTAAAAAGCCACCATGAAGCTCCATGTCTTGTTAGGGTTATGTCTTCCCACATGGGTGTGCTTTAGAGCCAGAGCCAGGATCTCTGTAGGGAGCTGGATACTGTCACTAAACCAGGACAGCTCCAGGACAAGAGCTGTGGTGTCAGGTAGTGAGAATGCACCTCACTCTGGAGACAGCCTCACAGAGACACTGTGGATGCTCTGCCAGCCACCAGGGACTCTGAGTGCCTGGTCTCCAGCCCCCTGAGAGACCCCTGAGCCTAGAAACATGACCCCTGGAACTGTGCTTGGTGGTAGGGAAGGAGAGGCAGAGGGTGAGTGGTCAAGGTATTCTGGACATGTCTATCACAGACGAGTCAGCTCCCTGGGAACACTGGTGGGAAGGGTGGTAACCTTTATTTCCCAGGTGTAGAATTCAGTGTCAACAATTCTGTCAATGCACTGATTGTCACAGTGTGTCTGCCCTTCAGAACAAGAAAGGTTCTTGCATCCTGTGGAAACAGGCCAAGTTGTCTGGATATCTTGTGAGGACTGAACCCTGAATAACTGCTCACCCCCAGGTCTGCTCTACCTATGAGGCTCCACGTGGGCAGCCCCAGCCTCTGTCCTGCTGTTCCTGCTGCAACTCTGTTGCCCCCTGCTGGTGGAGGACTCAGACAAGGAGATTCCCTCCTGCAGGTCATTCCCACCTGTAGGTCTCAGCACCTGTCACCTGAGAAAGTGTGGGGACCAGGGAGCCCAGCCTCCTCCAGACAGCTGCCCCACTCCTCTCCCCAACCCAGCACACACAGGTCACTTACACTGTGCAGGAGACAGGACAGATGCGATTCCTGTACTTGTCCCAGGGTTGAAATGCCCTGGACTAACTCAGTGCCTTCTCACAAAATACAGAGTGTAGGGTACAGTGTAGTGCATTTGAAAAGAGTCAGTGTCCAGATTCACCTGTGTGATGTCCCATAGCCACCACATTCCTGTGTTATGTGTCAAGACTAATGCTTCCCCACCCTAATTAGTGCAGATTTTCATCAGTGGGAACAGGTGATACTTCCGGCATAAAGTTCATTTTGTGCGCCTAAATCTTTATTAGTATTATTATTTCTACTGCTATTATTTTTATCCCAACCCACATCTCTTGGACTTTGGGGCAGGAGGATATCTACATTACCCCAGTAGGTGGTTTGAGAGGACATTGAAATCTGCGAATTCAGACCTGCTTCTTCAATTTCACATCATACAGATCACACTTTGCTGAGTCATTTGCATGGGTTTCTGCAGAGGATGGACAAGAGATTTCCAGACCAGCTCTTACTCACAGAGATCCCACAGAGTCTCTGTTTAATGGATAAAGCTGTTAAAATGATTTGTATAATTTAATTTGAAACAGAAAAGCATTTCTAGCATCAGTATAAGCATCCTCATTTCACAGCCCATAAAACTGAAGCCCAGAGAGACTAGGTTCACAGAAACAGATAAAATTGAGGTGAGACCAGAAGGAGAGCCTTGGTGTCCTGGATTGAGATCCTTGGCCCTTTGGGTCAGAGCTTGACAAGAGGGGGATGGGAGGGAGGGTGAGGTCAAGTTAGGCAACAGGGTTTGTGTCCCTGGATTCCCTGTGTTCCCCATCCTGACCTGGCCTATAAAGGAGCCCCCTCAGCCTGGCTGTTGTGAGGTTCAGTACGGTTGTGTCCCAGGTTAGAGCTGGAGAATCTGTGGGGATGGTGGATTTGGCAGTGCAGGGGCCTGGCCTGGGTGCTGCTGGGTTTGCTCCTCATTATTGCTTGGTTCTCTTTCTCCTGGGGATGTGGTATTGACAGGGGTCTCATGGCCACTCTGCTGGGGGCTGCCTACGTGTATTGTGGACTACACAGCTTGCAGGATCAGAAGATTGTGGGGCACATTCTCAGTGATCTTACTCCCACAGCATCCCCTGGGCTGGGCCCAGGGTCACAGTCATGCTCAGGATCCTGTGGGGACTGAGACTATGGGCAGCACTTGGACAGAGAGTGAGGAGTGGGAGGAGGAGAGGGTGCAGGCAAGAGTTCTGTTTGCCGAATCCACAGCTGAGACTAGTCATCTCAAGCCTCCCTCCCTCATGCCCTCAGAGATCCCAGTGAAAATGCTCCATTGAGAGAGAGAGAGACAGGTTCTAAAAGGTGTGGTGAGGAGAGAATTAAGAATCAGGGGCTGCCACTCCTCAGGAGCCAAAGCATCAGTCTCTCAGCTCAAACCTTTTATTTTGCTATTTGTCTGATAACAGCAAACACATACAACATAGTATTTGGCACCTTGACAGGTCATGCACCTGCAGTGCATTCCATAGTGGGTCATGGTGCCAGACAAAACATTCTTATCCCTGGTCTGGCACCGTATGATGTCCTTACTGAGAGAACGAGCAGCCCTGGTGGCTCCAACCTGGGAATGGAACTGCTTTCAGTTCCTTGCTGCTCCGTCCCTTTCCTTCAGGACATTCTTATGGTGCCTCTGGCTTCTTGTTCTCCAACACTCCTCAGGCTGCTGGAGAGAATCTCTGCATCTGGGTGGACTTCACAGATCTGGTTCACATGGAGCTGTGCTCACCTCTGGGTTCTCCTAGAGGCGCTCTTGTCACTATGCATTTGAAAAAAAATTTTTTTTTAATATTTTTATTTATTTCTAGGGGAGAGAGAGAGAGAGAGAGAGAGAGAGAGAGACAGCATGAGCAGGGGAGGGTCAGAGAGAGAGGGAGATACAGACTCCGAAATAGGCTCCAGGCTCTGAGCTGGCAGTCAGCACAGAGCCCGACGCGGGGCTCGAACCCACGAACCGCGAAATCATGACCTAAGAGAAAGTCGGACGCTTAACCGACTAAGCCCCCAGGTGCCCCTGCATTTGAAAATTCTTTTTTTTTAATTTTTTTATTGTTTTATTTATTTCTAGGAGAGAAAGAGAGACAGCGTGAGCAGGGGAGGGTCAGAGAGAGGGAGTCACAGACTCTGAAACAGGCTCCAGGCTCTGAGCTGGCAGTCAGCACAGAGCCCGACGCGGGGCTCGAACCCACGAACCGCGAGATCATGACCTAAGCGAAAGTCGGACGCTTAACCGACTAAGCCACCCAGGCGCCCCTGCATTTGAAAATTCTTAAAATGTAGGGGAAAGGAGGAAAGGTGAAGGGCGTTTCTGTATCATTTTCTCATGAAATGTGTACTGTGAATATTTCTTTTCTGTGTGTGTGTGTGTATCATACATGCAACATAATTTTTTTCATTCTGCCTATTTGTAAGTGTTCAACTGTCTTCCCCAATTCTCTGTTCCCTGTGAATGTTTCATGTTCTACATTGTGGATCAGAATTGGTGGGAATTTGTTCTGAACTTACACTTGGATTTTAATGTGTTTTTATCTAAAGTGTGTTCTTAAATGCAGCATAGAGTCAAGTGTTGCTATTAAACTCAGTTTCACAATCTTTTTACTGTATTTAGATCATTTCCTGGATGTGATTAGTATTATCATTTCCATACAGCGTCATTGTGTATTCTGTTTCCTTGTCAATATTCTACTTGTTTCTTTTCCCATTTCTGTCTTTTGAAATTAATGAACCATATTTCGTTTTTACATTTTATCTTTTTGTGAGGTGATATTAACTGTACCTATGACTATTGTATTATCCTGTCCCGTAGTCATTCCCACAGGTCACACAGAGTGTCATAGCCTTAGTATGAACTTCTCTCTTTTCAGCATCTTTGCTGTAATTCATAAATGTTACTTTTACCTGTATTACAAAGTCCCAAATACAAAGGTATTAGATTTGATTTGATAGTGAATTACCTTAAAGAGATTTAGATACTAGAATAAGTCTTGATATTTTTTTCCATTAGTTAGCATTTGTGATTTTTTCATTTATTTTGTAGAATCAGATTCTTTCTGGAATCACTCCCTCCTCCCTGAGGGGTGTCCAGTACCATTTCTTGTACATCTGGATAGCTGATGATCAATCCTGTCACTCTATGTGTGTAGGAAATTTTTTATTTAGGCTTCATTTGTGAAAGGCAGTTTCCCTGGGTAAAGAATTAAGTTTTCCTATTTTCAGTGTTTTTTTTTTTTTTACAAATAGTTTATTGTCAAATTAGTTTCCACATAACACTCAGTGCTCATCCCCACAAGTGTCCTCCTCCATGCCCATCCCCCCCTCCCCCCCACATCAATCAGTCCTCAGTTTTTGTCAGCATTCAAGAGTCTCTCATGGTTTGTCTCTCTCCCTTTCCCCCACCATTTCCGCCCTTCTCCCCCTTGTTCCTCCGTCAAGTTCCTCCTAATCCTCCTATACGTGCAAACATATGATATTTGTCCTTCTCTGCCTGACTTATTTCGCTCAGCATAACACCC